ACTGTTTCTAATCAATTTATTTAATATATTCCAAGTACTTCTCATGTTATTTATATTATCCTCTAATACTTTAGCATAATATTGTTTCTTACATCTCCTCAATATCGCAATTAATTTGTTATTATATGACTTATATTTTTCTTCCGCCTTCTTTGATCTGTACTTTATGAATTCCTTGTATAACACATTCTTCTTTTTACATGCATTCTGTAATCCCTTACTCATCCACGGTTTCCTACTGTAATTCCTCTTGTTTTTATACTGCTTACGAGGACAGTTCCTGTCATATACTTTCATGAATATATTTAAAGAGAGAGTTTCATGGTTGAATCCTTTCAACTTTTTACCAACGCTGGGTGTCAACTAACTTATTTCCCTCAGCAAGCGGTTACCCAGAAGCACTCAAATCAAAAAGCAGCTGATGCCATACCACTTCTGTTCCAGTGGCATATACCTCCCTTTTCCATTGACATATACCATTTCCTAACAGCAGATGCTGCTTAGAACTGGTATGCCACTCACAATAGTAACTAAATAAGACTGTCAGTGTTGGTAGAAAAAGTGTGGTTTGCTACTGCCATGAATATTTTTATGTTACAGCAGAAAAAAATGAATACAAAATTGTTATTCTTTCTCAATCAGATTATGTGCGATACCTTTGTGACACCAATTGTTAAAATAAGTTCATATATCTTCGGTGATCCAACTTGGCATGTGTGGAAGGATGTTGATTATGTTTTATTGTTGCTGTCAGATACTCTCTCTGTGTTGGCACGTACCATTGGCAAAGATGTCTTCAGCCCTCTTGCTGCAGAGTGTGTTCAGTTGGGCCTCAACCTCACTGATACCATCGATGACCCGGACCTGAAACGCTGCACGTACGTAACTTTTTTTGTTTTCACTCAGTGAACTATACCAAACTCAGCTTGTTTGATCAAAGCATAAACTAAACAAGTTATAGAAATACATTTGTATAGTTGATCATACAAATCAGTTTCAAAAGAAAAAATACTTTTTGTTCTCATTTTAATGAGAAGGATTTGTTTTATATCCTGACTAAATCTCTTCTCCTTCACGTATGTACCTATATATAGATGTATGAAAATAATTTGGAATAACAAATGCCCATTTCAACTGTTCTATAATAACATTTCCTCCATCTCTCACTGTCTTTCCCTCTCTCAGGTACAGTTTATATTCTGCTATATCTACAGTTAGCCCTGAGTCCCTGACTCCTCACCTAACTGCCATTACAACAGTCATGCTGCTGGCTCTCAAGTCCGATGAAGGCATCACGGTATAAAATATACATACAACACCATCAAAATTGCTTTAGAAACAATTCAGCATAACTGTAATACTCTGTTTCACTTGCCATGCTCCTCTCTTTTTTGTTCAGGCACACATTGAGGAGGACAAGACATTTGTCCTGCTGGATGATGATGATGATGATGATAATGATGAAGAAACAGATGAAGAGGTTGATCTGGAACAGGACACTGAAACAGATGTCCATGATGTTACAGGGTAGATGTCTTACACACACACCTAAAACCCATTTTTGGTAATAGTACAGATATCTAATGTTTAAATGAATAAACTGTTTATATAAGCTTATTCTGAGGTTTTCTAAAGCAAACCATATATAAACGAGATCCAGAAATGCCACCACCTTCTCTGGGCTCGAGCTCATTTAAGATGGAAAACTGTCCTGTAGTCTGGCAAGTCAGAATTTGAAATTCTTTTTGGAAATCATGAGCCCCATCCTCCCAGGTGTAAGATGGTAAAATGGTAAATAGACTGTATTTATATAGCGCTTTTATGCACTGGCCACTGCACCATTCACACACACATGACGACAACACAACTGCACTAGTCAAGTCACCGGGGAGCAATTTGGGGTTCAGTGTCTTGCTCAGGGACACTTAGGCATGTGGGGAGACCGGGAGTCGAACCACCAACTTGCTGGTCAGAAGACGACTTGCCCTACCTCGTGAGCCACAGCCACCCCAGAGGAGGAGAGGAGAGGGGCCATCCAGCTTGTTATCAACACAAGAAGCAAGAATGGGGAAACATTTTGCCTTCAAAACTAAATCAGTTGCTCTCCTCAGTTCCCAAATGCTTACATGGTGTTGGAGAAAGGAGAGGTGTTTTAACTGTGTTGCTGAAAACACATTTAAAATCAGCAGATTTTTTTTCTAAAAACAAAAAAGGTTTTCATTTTCAACATTTGATGTTTGTACTATTTTCAGTTAGAGGTTTTAAATGATTTGCTGATCATTGCATTCAGTTGTTGTTCATGTTTTATACGGTGTCTCAACTTTTTTAAGAAAGGGGGCTTTATATATACATACACAATCATATTTACTTCCCCTGGTGGGCAAAGGCTTTCTCCCACTCCAACTGATGCCACATCTATTTTTCTCTCAGGTTCAGTGTTGAGAACGCCTACATTGATGAGAAGGAAAATGCCTGTGATGCACTGGGAGAGATTGCCTACAACACTGGGTAACTGATATTTACAGGCAGTATAGCATTTCTTCTTCCACTCTATGCTACAAGATTTATTATTAACATCGGTCGTTAGATTATTGGGCAGTTAAAACGTTTTTGTTACTCCTGATGGTTCTAATTTTGTCTGTGTTCTTAAGAGGCTTGTAACTTTGTAGCATTTCTTGTGTGTGTGTTTTGCTAATTTTAATAGTGGTTTCTGTGGTTTCCCCTGACAGTACTGCCTTCCAGTCCTTCCTGGAGTCCTGCTTTCAGCAGGTTTATGAAATGAGAGATGTAAGTCACTCTGTCTGGCAGATTGGCCCCATAGTCCCTGTCTGTCTAGTGGTCTCTTTATTGTCCATGTTGGTGCATATGCTATTTTTCTGTGGCTTTGTGGCTGTTTATGAAAGCAAGTGTCTGTATGCAGATTCATAATGGCAGGTCCTGAACTCTTCAGATGTTTTAATTTATTATCCAAACTCAGAGCTTTAAGAGATATCGAGTGTGTTATCCAGTTAGTGTTGAGCTGTGACTGTAGTGCCATCAACAGCCCAGTATATCATTAAACGTGCTATTTAAATTCTGCTAATAGGAAAATGTACCCAGTCAGGAAATGTTAATGAGTATAAGATAAAATTTGAAGAAGGAGCTGGTGTAAAAACTCGTATTGTCAGGTAAACATGATGAAATGCTGGTGTTTTTATTTTGAGAGAAGGTCTTGGACTTGCAGTAAATGCCACTAGAGTAGACTGAGGCCTTTGTGTGGGTTTTTTTCCCACCCCAAAAATGTTTTATGAAAACTTGCACTGACCACTGATTATTGGTCCCACCTTTTACTGTGAGCGAACCTGGTTTGTCCTGCCAGGAAGTGAGGCTCAGTTATAGATTAGATCTCCTGGTTGTGGCAGGGACTTGGTGTCTCTCTTAAGAAGACTTTAGAAAGTTAGGTATTTGATATTAGCTGGAAGCAGTCATCTTGTTGAAGGACGAGCTCTCCACTTGTGGCCTCATTAACCTGTGTGCATGTATATGTTTATGCAACACTACCTTTTCTGTTGTAATGCGTTATGTATCCTCCCGGCCCAGTTTCCCCATGAGGACGTCCGCAGGGCAGCGTTTGGAGCCATGGGCCAGTTTTGTCGAGCTCAGCACAAAGTGTGGAAGGAGAACCCTACTGAGGTCAACCATCAGGGTACAGCCTCTTTTCTCAAATACCCAACACTACCATTTAGATTTTTAGGAAGTGCAGAAATGGGCCGTGTTACTTTCTACTACTGCAGTGGAGCTTGTTAACCAATTCACCCATGACCAACCCGTTTGTCCCAAGTGCATATTTTTTGCCCATGTATTTTGATTGGTTGATTCTGATAAACTGTACATCGTTTCAAAGTTCATAGCCTCAAGATTTCAACAGCGTAAAACATTTAAAGATGGGTTACATACAGTCTTAGGGATTACAGTTCAGGAACGGTAACCATTTAGTTCTGGATATGCCATATTTTTAGATTTTGTTTTGTTTCTGTGTCAAACCGCACTCAGCGCAAATGTCTTGAGCTAATGTTAAATTTCATCTTCTCTCTATATCTAATGCAACTCCCACAGCCCTACTGAAGTTGCTAGATGTGGTGCTTCCTTGCTTTGTGGAAACAGTTCAGACAGAACCTGAGCGCCAGGTTGTGATGGGCATCTTAGAATCCATGAACAATGTCATCAAGTCTTGCAAGGAGGAGGTTTTCAGAAACCCCTTACGCCTTAAGGAGATCAGCTATGTCATTCGTGATGTGCTCAAGAAAAAGGTGAGAATAGGGAGACTGAGGAGATGGCTTCACTTCTTAAAGCTAAGGCTCCCCTGGGTGGGGGATATCACTGTTGTAACATTTAAACATCACCACTGTCATTTTTCTCTCTATTCTGCCTGTTCAGACTGTCTGCCAGGATGCAGGTGGTGATGAAGCTGATGATGAAGACCAGCAGGTTGGCTGTCCTCTTTATCAGATAACTGTGAATTCCATATACATGCCAGAATAATTTTTATGTAGTGATAAAAGTAAATTGGCATTATTACGGTTGTAACATGTTAATTTATTCCTGTGAACATTTTATAGAACATACAGGAGCTCCCGCCTACATCACCCATCCTTTTACTACGTGTGTTTTCCAGTCATGTGCTGTCTGTTTCAGGCGGAGTATGATGCAATGCTCCAGGAGTTTGCCGGGGATGGAATCCCCTTGCTGGCCTCGTCTGTCCCTGCAGACAAGTTTGCCCCCTTCCTCAATGACCTGCTGCCTCTCATCATAAGCAAAGCTGTAAGTCTGGAGTTTAACTCAAACACATTTTTTTTTCAAATGTTTTATGCAATTTATTTAACTGTATTTATAGTTGGAATTAATTCTAACTATATTGTGCATTATATCAAATTCATTTTTTGACAACTTTTTTCTTAATTTAAATTTAAAATGTTAAAATTGGCTACAAGTCCAACCAAAACAGCAAAACAAAATGGGGGAAAAAACTAATTGAAGGTCAGGAAGATGGCAAATCATTTCACTTTACTGAACACAGTGGCTGTTTTAAATCGGTAAAGGAGGAGGCATAAAATTAACAGCTGTTTAAAAAGGGAAAGTAAGGTGTGATGTCGTGTCAGTCAGGTATTTGTTCTTTGTCTTTTCCTCCTATAGAAATCCTCCTGCACAGTGGCAGACCGCTCCTTCTCTCTAGGTACTATTGGAGAAGTCCTCCATGCACTCGGGAGTGTGTCTGGGGGCCGGGGAGTGGCGGGCCGACTGTCCAATCGTTTGCTTCCTGTGCTGGTGGCCGGAGTAAAGGACAGTGATCCTGAGGTTCGTAACAACAGCGTGTTTGGACTGGGATGTCTGGCTCAAGCAGCCGGACCCATCGTTGTGTCGTATCCTTTTTACCAGTGTCTGTTTCTGTGTTGTGTGTTACTGCTTAGTTTGAAAAAGAAACATCACATAAAGCTGTTCCTTAGTGAAGTGTGTTCCAGAGACTATCCCATGATGCTGTCTGTGTTTTCCAACCTGCTGGCCAAAGAGTCAAACCTCTTGGTGATTGACAACTTATGTGCCGCCATCTGCCGGATGATTATGAGCAATGTGGCTGCTGTCCCTCTGGAGCAGGTAGAGTTACCATTTATACCTCTTCTGTTATAGTTTAGCCACTACAACTACTATGTACTGCTGACAACACATTGTGACAAGCAGGGGATTCAGTACAAGCTCAACAAGAGAATCCCACTGCACACATCCATGGCGTGGAGTAAGTTGCTGAGTCAGATTACATGGTGTGTTGTCTGACAGGTCATGCCTGCTCTGGTAGCCTGCCTTCCACTCAAAGAGGACTTGGACGAAAACAAGACTGTGTTCCGCTGCCTGGCTATGCTCTACACACACAGCCCAGCTCTGGTACAGTATAGAGCCCAGTGATGCCTGGTGTTAACACTCTCAGCACTGCATACTTTCAGAAGCTACTGTCCTATATGTAGATATGCACCAATCAGTCATAACATTATTATCACCTGCTGAATACTCTTTACACAGGAGTCAGTGTGCCAGTTGGATGGCACCCGTGTCACTCTGCAGCTCACTGTGCATCTTCTGTGAATCCTTCCATAGTTCTACTGTCAGGAAGAGCACAGATGTGTTGACCATTCAGTAAAAAACTTGTGTAAAAGGAGTGAAGACTGTGGATGTGATGACAAGTTAGCTATCATTCTTTAGACACATTCAATAGCCTCCCCACTCTAGTTGTGATATCACCACTATAGCCACTGAATGTTTCTCTTCATAGAGACCAATGTACAGTATTTCTCATTTTCAATCAGGTGCCACTGTAACAAGATTATCAGTTTTATTCACTTCACCTGTCAGTGGTCAGAATGTTATGGCTGGTGTGTGTGTGTGTATGGTCTGAAAACATTTTTCTATATTTCCATAAACCGGATTTGCAATTTAGTTGTGAATATGACAGTATAGTTTTACCATAATATGGCAAAAGGCTGAGTGTTTCCTAGAAAAACAAAGCCTGTCAAACACAGGCAGACACAGGAGAATACTAATACTATTAATGCTGTAGTGGATGTTGTAATTGATGCCCACAGTACGATTCTGATGAACAGATGTTAGGTCAGTCTTTAATTCATTCTTTATTAAATGTAAAATTTTATACAGCATATTTCTGTAATCTCCAAAATCTGTCACATTGTGCACAAATCATACAGTTGGTTATGCTATAGCTTAAACAGCTAGTCAAACTTGGCAATTTAGCTAATACATAAAAATGGCAAGATGATGCTCCCAATAGATTCAGAGCAGTTCAACATCTCATGCTTAGATAACCACTGAGACATTGTGTAATGTGTGCATTTAATCCATGGACACCAGTATCTTACTAAACACTTTGTTTTTTTTCTTTCCTGCTCAGATTGTGAACCTGATGAAGCCCATAGTTGCTGCTTCCGGTCATGTCCTGTGCAGCAAGAGCACTGATAAAGGTGAATGTCACCTTGAAATCATCTCTGGAAATAGCCAGTGTTTTGTAGTGGCTTATTAATACATGTTAAGTGAACTGAATAAATGAGACTAATACAGCACGAGCTTTCCCCCTGAACATCGTCAATGAGCCTCAGCAAAGTGTTACTCCACTGTTGTTCTGTTGGCTAATCTGTCTTCACTGTTCTTGTTCCATCCCTGAACTCTGTACTTTACCTTTCCTCCACAGAAACTCAGAACACTTTGGCCGTGCTTATGAAAGAAATGGCCCAGCACCACCCAGCCGACTTCCAAGCAGCTGTGATCTCACTACCTGCAGAGCAGAAAGCTGAGCTCAGTGCAGCCATCTCTGCCTCTTAGCCGGCACACATACTTCCAGTCAGCCAAGTCAATTAATTTTTATACTGTAAATGGAAAGTGATTTGGAAGTTATTTGTTTGTGATTTCACCAAAATGTTCTCACTTCATCCATTTTGCTAGAGTTATTAAATTCAGCAGTTCTGCTCCTCAGTGTAAGCTTCTAATCTATTTACTTATGTGCTTACTGTATTTACATTCTATTGTTGTCAGAGTTTGGTTCACTATCTTAATCTGATATTCCTACAAAGTGCTACTATGACACGACACTGTCTCCCTTTGGCCGCTGTTTGAACAGGCATATTAATTTGTAATGGGAGAGTAAAAGATTTCGACCTCCTGATAAATACAGTAATTTGTAAAATTGGACTGTAAACTGTGTAGCCCCATGAATTCTACTGTGGTACAAGCCTTACTGATGGTTTTATCTTCTGTTTGCAAAGGGATTTCTCTGATGTGCCAACACTACAGCTGTGTGCTTCTGTGAGCTGACTGTTGCACAGAACAAGTCACACTCGGCGCTTATTAAAAAACAAACATCACTCGCTTTACCCTCAGAACAGTTAGTGCTTAGCAACTCGGCTGCAATTAAAACATCACTCGCTTTACCCTCAGAACACTGTTAGTGCTTAGCAAATCGGCTGCAATTGAATGCAGTAGACCTATGATGTGTTGGTTTTGGTCCTATTTCTGGACAGATTATTCAGATGTGTGCTGTTGATGTTACAATCCTAATAAGTTTACCTATGCAGTTAATGCTGAATCATCCATCTTGTACATTGTAGTGGAATAACTTGTAGCATTTATGTCAGCTTTTTGTAAAGAGTAATCAAATGGCTAGCTTGTTGTTTCACATTAAATTGCACTCATTTTGGAAGACAGTGTTTCCTTATTGGTCCTCAGATCTGCCTTTGCCCATGGCCCTGAGTAAAATCCAGCTGTTGTTCCTCCTTGTCTAGCGCCATCTGGATCTGCACCGGAGGTCCTCTCTCCCCTGACACACAAGTGTTTTTAAACCCAAATTTATCACTATGTTCTTAAAATGAGGTGGACACACAATTCCTATGTTCCACGGTTATTACTGAGATCTTTATCTTTGTTTCCCTTGTCTTTTGATATCATTCATAATCTGAGGTTGCCTTATTTGTACAGATGGCTGTAATTCATAAAAAAATAACATGGAGCAAGTCAAAAGACTGACAAATTCCTGCTAGTGCCGAGGTCTAAAGTTTTATTTGGACACAGGTGTAATGTTTTGATGTCTTCTCATTGCCTAAGACTGTGTCACACCATGCGATCAGTCTGGGACACAAAACAAAGTCCAAAATGTTTCAGGCACGATTATGTTTAGAGCTTCTAAAAAACAAGTCAAGCTCATATGCTGTTCCACTGACCAAGGAGAATTTTATTAAAACATGAAGTTAAAATAATTACAAAGGACATTAAAAAAAAGAATACAAACTGTATAAAACGAGTTTAAAAACATTAAGAGGGATAAAATATAACATGAACTCTATAACAAAGCGCTCGATTCTTCTTCAGTATGTGAAATTATGTAACACAATACCTTTGGTGAGTAAAATATTTGAAAGTACAACCATATTAACATATTAAATCCAGATTAAAATAGAAAAATATCTGAGAAACCTTTAAAATTCAGGGTAAAAGCAAATTAAAGCAATTTATATTTTATCCTTGTTAAGCATTATAACGTTCATAAATACTAAAAGGTCATAAAAAATTCACTATCCTTTTAGAACCTGGATTAAAAATAACAGCACTGAAAGAACAAAACTGCTAACTCTCCAGGACCGTAGTGTGAGTCAGTGCAGGTGTGTGTACTCAAGTGGTCATTCTGCAGGGTGTATGGTCATGTGACTGTAGGGCTCAGTCTGCTGGACAGCCAGTTGCCCCGCAGACAGCAGCTCTGAGGGAGACACACCACAGACAGTAACACCATCACACTGCTGAACTGAAGAAACAAAGACTGAAGGCTGAGTTATGTGTTTTACATTACATGGCAGGAGACCAACTTCCTCTGAGCTAGAATAAAACTGAATATAACTGATAAAGGTTAGTTACAGTTTAAAAGCAAAAGTTTAAATGTCATTATTACTATGTAAATAAGAACCGGTTTTTCACACTTCTATAGTGAGCAGTGGTGGCTAAATTCAGCTCATCAGAGAAGGGCAGGCAGGACATCCCTTGTTCACGTATTTTACTGCAGATAAGATGTTTGATTTCCTTACCCAGCAGTCTGTAGAAAGTGTGAGCTACAGTGGTGCGGTCGGTCTTTGGGGGCAGCAGAGAGTCAAAGGTGACCTTTTCAGCCCTCTGCAGGTTGGAGGACATCCAACTGAAATAGACAGTGAGATTCAAAGGCCTCATACTGTGTGTGTGTGTTTGTGTGCATATTTCCAGTACTGGCTGTTAGTAAAAACAGCATTAGATGTGATCACACTCATGGCAAGAAATTGTGATAAGGATTTTTTTCCCTCATATTATTGCATTCTCCAAGGCAATCATGTTTTTTTAATGAGCTGAGCTACTCATAGAGACACAGGAGAGACACCCACTATATGTAACAACGTCCTACATCAGTACTGTGTGTTGTGGGCTTGTCCATGCCTATCCATTAATGCCAACTGCATGCACTTTAGACACGTGTTAAAATGATATGTCAATCGTAATGGGTCTGACCTAATAAGATTGCTTTTATGGAAAAGTGACCATAATGATCATTTGGATATGAAGCCAGTTTAGATGCCGTCAGATTATTGGAAAGGAGTACATGTCTGAAAGGTGCTTTACATATAGCATAACATATTGAGCATAACAATGCTCAATATGTTATGGACAAGCAAACAGTATAACAGTGTCATATTGATGAAGTCTGCCACGTGTCAAAAGTGGTGTTGGTTATGAAGGTATGTGTCTGCAAAAAGCTTTTCATGAGCTTCTGAAGTGATGTGGAGAAAAACTGGTGTCAGGCTAGATCTGTGTGTGGGCATGTGTAAACCTGCTTGTGCTCTGAGTTTGCGTATTGTCTTATGAAGTACCTCAGCTTGTCCCCGCTTTCTGTCTCAGCCTCCGGCATCTCGACGTTTTCCTCCGCTATAGGCTCCATCTGGAGCTGAGCCTCCTCCTGTGGAGACCTGCACACACACACACACACACACACACACACACACACACAGTGATGATTCTCTTTATCCATTTAGCTGTCTGTCTGTCTAGCCATCTGAGACTCACCATCTGCTGACGGGAGTGATTACATCGCTCACAGATTTGTCTTCTTTGGACATGTCAACATCAATTGCAGCTGTTTACACACACAATCATAAAAGAAACACAAATGATTAGTTGTCAGTTTGGAGCAAATGAAATCTGACATCAATAAGATGTGAAAGCCTAGTGTGATGTAACTGACATAAAATAAGAAAAGAATTCCTACATGAGCCCTCAGCAAGTTGCAGTCCTGACTCAACAGAAATCTGGGAATGAGAGAGAGGCAAAGTTTCATGTAATAGAAACAAGGTTTATAATAGAATTTGTCTCACCAGTGAACTGAACACATGCAGCTGGCAGCCTACATCTGCAAGGTAGCTGGCTAATAGATAACCATCATTATTTTAGCTAAAGTTTCACAAGTACTCTCAGATTTTAGGACAACATAAAAGGGGATTTTGATAAGAATATCACTGAACTTCCCCCACAGATGGTACTATTTAATTTGAGAGCATTCTTGTCCACTACAGGAACTTCGTGGTCCCTAACCTGGACCTCTCTCTCTGAAATACACCCAGTATGTTAAACACCACCCTCTTGAGGGGGAAACAAAATCAGAACCTGGGTCAATGGAGACAAGTTCAACTATGGGTCAGTGAGTTCCTGTGTTGGAAAGTCCTTAGATGTGAAGTTAAGGAGAAGAGCTGTAAATGATCTCAGTGGTTGAACTCTGCTCCTCTCCTTCACACAGACCCACCTCCTTCAGGCTTGAGTGCCTCCTCTTCCTCTCTGTCCTCAGTATTTCTCTGTTCTGCTCAGACTCTTCTTCCTCTTCCCCTCTCTGTTTTTTCTCATGGTCAGGCAGGACAGTGAGCACAGCACACTTCTTCCACAGTGACATGAGGTCCTCCTGGATGAGGGCTGGGGACGGTTCAAAGGGATCACAACACTTTAATTATAACAGGTGTCAGAGGCCCTACAGGGTTGTTGCTGGGTAGTGAACATCCACAAGGTTTATGATGACCTATACTCTAGGGGCAGGTCAAGTTTCTGCAATAAGTAAATACGTCCTTGAAGAAGAATTCTGTCTGGTCTGTCAATTAAAACCTTAACACGAGATGGACCAATCTGACTCAGAAGCATGGAATTAGTTTTCTCTTGACAGTTATTTGACTTATTTGCCTGACAGGTTTGTAAATCTGACACTTGCCAGACCATTATCCATACTTCTCTACCTCCACTACTCCTACGAGTAGTCGCCAACTGCATCAGAAAATTAGCACTTTCTCATCTAGTGTACCTTTAAAACATTCTTGAACCCTGTCCTCACCCAGGCAAAGAACAGATACCTTTGAAACATCTGTATTGTATGTCCTCTGCTCCAGCTACTGCAGTTGGCCCAACTGGCATGCAACTTAATCTGAGAGCCAGGGCCCCTCAGTTGACTAATCACTGTATAAATCCACCAATGTCACTAACAGCCAATGATGTTGAGCTTTCAAAGCATATGATATGAATCAGATATAGAACTGCATATGCAAATGGACAATGTGGTTTATTCACACATGAGTGAACAGATCAGATACAACTGGATTTGGGTCTCGTCAGCAGGGAATGTGAACGTGCAGTAGCTTCACTGTTTTATCACATTCTGATTTTCTTCATCCATACAATGCAGTACCCAGGAATGGCCTGCAGATGTCACCATGTTTTGCTGCGTCAAGTGCCTCGAAACAATGAACACAGTTGGTTCATACTGATTCAGTGCTTCAGGAAGTCTCATTTGACTAGCCAGAGTCACACTGTAAACAAAAAATATCACCCCATCTCGGTAATCTGCCTGTTTTAGGCTCAGCCCTCTAATATGCAGTTTAGTAAACAGGGACAAGACTGACTGACCAACAACACCTCAACAGCCTTAGATTTCCACTCTGCCTCTGCTGCCACATCTGTATATCTAATATTTTCCTTCTCATAGGCCATTTCTGCTGCATCCTCCCATGGGACTGTCACTTCCACATAATATACAACCTGCTGTGTTTCTCACTACAACACAAAATCTAGTTTTAGATTAATGACAGCTATTTCCTGATGGACCAATACCTGTTTTCTCAAAGTTATTGTCATTTTACAGTCCTTCCCTTTAGCTGCCCTGCATCATTTTCAGTCAATACAGGCAAAAGCTAGAAGTGAAGTGTAGTACTTGGTACTGACATGTACAGGGATTGTTGAAGAGCTGAGCAGGAGTGGCCCACCTGGTCAAGGACGGCAAGTCCAGCAACATCTCTGACTGAGGAAGAACACAACTTTAGATTGATGGCACAGTTTCAAGACACAGTGTGCAGCATACACAGTAAAGGGACAGAGGGTGCTAAACCAACTCTAGACTCTATGTAAAAAGCAGCAGAATCTTAAGTTGTAGATGAGCCTTTAGATGTTCAAAGCCCACTTTAAATGACTGGAATGTTTTAACTGTGTGGTTGAGTGACATCATCTCATTTTGTTTAACTACCAGGTCCCGTGTCTCGGCCTGTGGGTTTCCAATCTGTTGCTTTATCTCTCTGTCAGAGATCTGGACCTGAGGGTCTGCAAAAACCAGCTGACGCCTGCGACCTCGAACAGGCTTGCTGCGAGGACGAATGGCCACCTAACGACAGAGTGAGAAACAGAACTTTAGTGTTTGCAGTCCCGAAGCTGGAAATGAACATTATAACTCTGAGGCACATACTGGAAAATCTGTGTTAACACACCCACACATGATTTCAGTTACTTGTTTCCAAAACAAAAGCAGCTGTTCATGAGTCACTTTGTCGAATGTACAGTAAATTAAAACTGATGATAACTGATCACAACAGCAATGCTTTGTCACTGTTAGCTCACCGTTTCCTTCATGACAGAATTTGATTAGTAGAAAAAAAGTAATGTAAGCTTGCCTCTCATAATCCATAACATGTTTGGAGGTACAGTTGGAAGTCTACACACGCCTTAGCCAAATACATTTAAACTCAGTTTTTCACAGCTCCTGACATTTAATACTGTAAACACTCCCTGTCTTAGTTCAGTTAGGATCAGTCATTTATTTTACGAATGTGAAATGTCAGAATAATAGTACAGAAAAAGATTTATTTCAGCTTTCAGTTCTTTCATCACATTCCCAGTGGGTCAAACGTTTACATAAACTTAGTATTTGGTAGCATTGCCTTTAAATTGTTTAACTTGGGTCAAACATTCCAGGACGCCTTCCACAAGATTCTTACAATGACTTGCTGGAATTTTAGCCCATTCCTCCAGACAGAACTAGTGGAACTGAGTCAGGTTTGGAGGCCTCCTTGCTTGCACACGCTTTTCCAGTTCTGCCCACAGATTTTCTATTGGATTGAGGTCAGGGTGGGCAGTACAGTAGTGCAGTGGTTAGTGCCGTTGCCTTGAGGTTCTGGATTTGAGCCCAGGTCAACCCGGGTCTCACCTCTTCATTCACACTTTCTGTCGTTGGATGTCCCTCTTTCCC